GTGTTGTGAAATGGACCACAGGGCACAGTGACCACCCCGGATTTTCATTTCCCAACCTTCACAGCCCATAGCTTCAGAACCTTCCTTTCTGTACATATGATGGGAGAATGACTTTCTGTTTTGTTTGGGGCTTTTTAGAGGCTCTGTTTTTGAGAACGCTCTTCCTTTTATATGTCTTCTCCATTTTATTCATGCTCTTTTGTGAGTTGTCCCATTACAAAGGGCTGAAGTCCCTGCTCTTTCAGCACAGATCAGATTGTATGCATTGACCAGCAGAGCTCAGAGAGCCTGTGAAAAGCTGACCTAATCAAACTCTAGCATTGCAACTGGTCTGCTGTGAACACTCACTTCAAACAGCTAATGCTGCCTACATCTGCCTCCTGATTTTTTTCCTGTTACTTTATTTGGATTGTCTTTCCAAAAGCACTATTTTTTAAGTCATTTTCCCCGGCTGCCTCCCCACAGCAATATTTCCATGTATTTCTTTTTCATGCACCAGAATCTCGAATAATCCATCACATAGGCACAGGGTGGGTGGCTGTTCTGGCGATTGCCTCAGGGTGTTCCAGCATGGTCTGAGCTTGTCTGGTGTCAGGTCAACATTTCCATTCAATCCTGAGCCACCCAAGAGGGAAATACTGAAATTTCAGCCAATGGAAACCAGTAATACAACTTCATCATTTGAAATAAAAAGCATATGCAAGTGTATGTGTGTATACGTATAATGTGTATAGTATAATACATCCGTATGTGCATATCACTAGGAAGTAGATACTTGTACTTTTTATATTGCTTGATTTTTAAAAGCCAGGAAATATTATTGTGGTGGGAGTTAAGGTATGTTTCACAATTTACAGTCAAAACTTATTTTTTGTTTATGCCAAGCATAATTTCCTAACTTAATGTCTAACTGTGAATGGAGAGGGTTAGTGAGATTCCGCTTTATGATTCTGCATCTTGCTCCAGTTTCAAGCAGTATGGCAGACTAAACGTTCACAGAAACCCTTTCCAACAGAGTACATGTAAAACACTGAATAAAGCTGAAGAGAGCAAACAAGAATTTCTTATTTCTAAATGCTTTGTTGAGGCTGTTGGAAAAGTTAAGACTTGCTCAGGAGCAGAAACAAGGAAGCCAAGAAAGTAAGCAATAAAGGGGTCCAGAGCAAGAGCTGTCGGGGGTCTTAGTGAGCTAAGGGAGGCAGGGCTTGGGTCTGAATAGGGAAAAGGATCAGCCACATGTGGGGAGCTGTCCCTCACCAAAGACAGCACCCACATGTGTGACCTAGGAAAACACACGGCCCACAGACGTTTTGAGAGTGCGTGCCTGTCTCAGTCTCCTCTACTGAAAGGGAGGGAGGCCGAAGGAAGAAGTCTCCTTGAGAACCAAGAACCACAGCCTTGTGCCACTAAGTGTGAGAGTCAGAATTCACAGCATCTGTGTGGCTCTAAGTCTCTTGTGTTAATTTAAATCATCATAAGGAGCTGTGCGTACTTTCATTCAGCTCAGCTCCTTAGCGCATTCAGTACATGGAGAGGGAGCTGAATGATCCTCCCTGCAGGCTGTGGAGCAAGTGCTCTTAACAGTATTAAACCAGACGTTTAACATGTTTAAGATGGTAAATTTTATGTTATGTGTACTTTTTTATAATTAAAAAATTAATATATTTAAATTTAATTTGAAATAGACTCAGGTTGATAGTGCCTCCTAACACCTTACTAGAGACAAACAAAACCAGCAAAAACAGGGAAGAAGAAAAGCCAGGAATGGAGGAGCCCTGCAGTGTCAGTACTTGGGAGGCTGCGAGAAAGCCTGGAGTTCTGAAGACTGCCTAGCCTGCATAGTGAGACTCTGTCTCAAAAATGAAAAGTAAAGACACACAAAGAAGGAAGACTGACCTCTCACAATTTCCAAGGAGTCTAAGCGATGCTCACAACAGCAAATTCTACTCTAAAATTCAAGGCAATAATTTCCTATGAAGGACCCTTTAGGAGTGATTCAACAGCACCACATCAGTGTCAAAACAAAACAGCTAGTAGAAACCATGTTTACTAATTATAGGCTAAATATTGTATGTTTAATTTTTTTCTTTGATACAAGGTCTCACTTTGTAACTCTGTGGCCTAGAACTCACTATGTAGACCAGGCTAGCCTTGAACTCACAGAAAGCCCAATGACTTTGTGGGATTCAAGGTGTACACGACCACACCTGGCTGTGTATTTAATTAATTTAAAGATTAAATTGAAAATATGTTGAAAGAAATAAAAGTTATTAAGTTTAACCAAGCAGATTTAAAAATTAACTGAGTAGAACTTAAGAAAAAGCCTATCATAATGTTCTAAGAAAATTAGGAAAAGAAACAGACTGATTCTACTGGAAAGACATAGGTTGATAAAACTGAAGAAATTACAGCCAAGGATACTAGTGGATGAATAATGAGAGAGACGGTCACTGATACGAAGAACAGGTAAGAAGGTCCTGCATACACCGAGTTGGAGCTTATGATACAGATAATAATGAATGAGCAATATTTGCAGAGATGATGGCTGAGGTTTTCAGAAGCAATGAAGTTAAATCTTCATATTCAGTAAAGAATATATTCAAGTACAGAATAAAAAGAAATTCACTTTGAGTCATATCATAGTGAAAATGCAGAATAACAAACAAACAAAAAAACATGTTAAAAGCTTCCGGAAAACAAACAAGACAAAGTTCTTTAAAGGAAGAACAACTAATTTCAGCCTATTTATCAGCAATAAAAATGGATATTGGTTGAAAATGGAAGAGCACTGAAGGGCTTAGAAAAAAATAACTTGTAAATAGGATCTCTATTGGAAATGATTAATTCTGTTACATGATCCATTACCAATAACAGAATGATTATTTTCAGATAAAAACCACTAAATATTATAACACAGACATTCACTAAAGGAATTTCAAATGATGACCCTGAGGGGAAGTTGGGGGAAGGAGCAGTAGATATGGTCAAGATACCTTGACCATGTATGAAACTGTCAAAGAATAAATCTTTTAAAATTTAAAAAGAAATTATATTTGTCTAGGTATGTGACAGACATAGGGTTTTCTCTAGGATCTATGACCTGTCTAGCCATGTGTATTTGGCAATGTTTACACACCACACATGAGTTCCCTCCCACTGAGCAGTCTTTAAGTCCAATTAGATAACTGTTGGTTACCCCCAGATAAAAGTGCCACTATTGCACCAATAGAGGTAGTTTGCTGTGCTGGTCATTGTTGTGGTCATTAGGCTATAAAGCTGGGGTTGGATCACTGATTGATGTTTTTTCAGCTTGCAGAGTATATTCTATAACTATGAGAGCTAGTCTTCAGAGAGGTGGCTTCCAGGTCAATGCTCCAATGCTCCAAGTCTCGTGTCTGAAGTATGTCCTGTCTTCTGCAATAGAGTCTTACCTTCAAGTTCTGGGCAGAAATCAAGGGCTGTGGCATTAGCCTGTGTTATTTTGAGTCTTTTGAGCTACCCTGACCAAAAACTCAAAGGGAGGTTTCTCCTATGGGTCTAAATATGATTAAGATGTATTTTCTGAAATGCACAAAAATTCACTATATATATGAAAGAAAGAGAGCCTGATATAGAAAATATGTCCTAAAAATTTAAAGAGAGAGAAAGAATTGCAATAAATTATCTCACTGGCATTAAAATTAATTTAAATACACTTAATCTAAAGGTTTAAGACTATTGTTGGCAACATTGCCACATTCATTTGCATCATTAACAACAGCCAATATCTGTTGATGTAGTCATGCATCCAATACAATAGGAAACTGACTAACGCACTCTGAAAGCACCTATCTACATTCTAACCTGGGAAGCTCTGAAAGTGACCTTATTTGAGAAGAAGGTCTATGTAATTAAGTTAAGGATTTTAACACAAGCTCATTCTAGATTATATGTGTGTGTCCTAAACTCAATGGTGAATGTCCTTAAGGACAGAAGAGAAGACACAGACATAAACTAAAGACCACGTGAAGGCAGAGGCAGAGCAAAGCAAACTAAAGCAAAGCAACACTTGGATCTGCCAGACTATGAAATAAGCAAACGATTCCTTTGCATTCCCAGGGTCCTGTCAACACTTTGGTTTCAGATCTCCTCATACAGAACTGTAAGAAAATAAAGTTTAATTGTTTTGAGGTGCCTGTTGTACTTGTTACAGCAGCCATAAGATACTACTACACTACACTAGGAAATACTGCATTTACCACTATTTTTATTTTATTTTATTTTTTTGTATTTTTGAGACAGGGTCTCCCTGTAGCCCCAGCTGTCCTAGAACTCACTATGTAGACCAGGCTGGCCTTGAGCTCACAGAGATCCACCTGCTTCTGCCTCCTGAGTCCTTGGATTAAAGGCGTGTGCCACCACATCTGGCTATTACCACCACTGTTTTTATAATTGAACTTTCCAAACTTCAGATGTTTCAAACTACAAATAGGTAACAGAAACATAAGCATTTACGTTTTGTGTTTTTCCCTTCAGGGTGAAGCCATTTGCTTTTTCTTCATTTATATCTATGGACACAATTACTCAAACTGTTGGCAAATACTGAACAACATGGTACAAGACACCATGCCATGACAGCAAGAGATGAAGCAGGGACACCTGGAGAAGGGTCCTGAAGGATCAAATACCCTAGAGAGTACTTTGGTAACATGCCTAAGGTAGAATCTGACACACAGAGGGATAAGAACAGTAGCATTGATTTTAATTTATAAGGTTTCAAAAATACTAACTTCCAGGGCCTCTACCCTGTATATGTATAATTCAGTGGTAGAGAGCTTGCAAATTACACGTGGGAGCCCTAGGTTCAATGCTCAGCACTCGCAGAAAACGATCTTCCAAGTTAGCCACGGCATATCCCTATGTGATTAGCATTTCATTAACCGCATCACCAGTGATTTTTTTCACTTGATTGCCCACTTAGTCATACAGTAGTTACACGGATTGTAAGACAGCCTGCTTACCTGTCAAGGTGGGACATCACTGTTTTGGAGATATCTGCACCTGCTTCTTGCAGTACTTGGATGATCTGGAATGGTGCACGGGGGTTCCGTCCAGGATGGATAATGACAGGACAGCCAAGCTGAGCCTGTGCGTGAGCTGTGGCCTGAAGCACCTTTCTTTCACTCTCAGTCAATGGCCAGGAGCAGCCTATTTCTCCAATAACTCCACACTTGATACTGGTTCCATCAGCCCCATGGAGAATTTCATTAATAAGGACATCTGTAAGCTGAAGAGGAATGTTTTATAGATTGTGAAATGTATCAAAATAAACCCATCATACTATATAAAGAAAGGTATTTATTTAGTAATGTATTCTTTCAAAAGTAAATTTGGGGCTGAGGGGATGGCTCAGTGAGTAGAGAGCTTACCTCAAAAGCCTGAGGACCTAAGTTCAATTCCAGAACCTACATAAAAATGAAATGCTGGATGTGGTGGTGCGGACTTATAATCAGTGCTGGGGAGGCAAGATGGGGGAATCCCTGGAGCTCACTGGCCAGCCAGTCTAGCTTAATTGGTGAACTACAGGCCAGTGAGAGACCCTGTCATAAAGGAGATGGACAGTATTTCTGAGGGTGACACCCGAGGTAGTCTTCCAGCCTCCACATGCATGCTCCCCCCCCAACATTTATGCACGTACAAGCACGCACACACACACACACACACACACATACACATGCACACATGCGCATGCACACACACACACAAACACATATTCACACACACAATGTATTCACTCAGTAGTCATCATTCAATGAATACTGGTTAATGAGCAAGGCATTTTCCAGGATAAACTGAAAATTCAACAAGTTTTGCTAAGTCCAAGATTCAGTATGTTACTGAGGTGATTTGACAAGAAACTTGCAGGTTAAGGATGCTATAAGGAAAGGAGTGCATTCAGACTGAAAACAAAATCTCTAATTGAATGTGGGAGCAGCATCTATGAATGCTGTTGAATCTGTCAGCTCTATCAAGTAATTCTTTAATTCCCTCTTAAATCCTTTATTCAGCCTAGAAAAGTCACAGCACACAATGCCAGTATTACAGTATCTGCTTCATATGTATAGTAACTGCTAAGCATGATTTGACAAATGTGTAGTCCCTGCTATCTGCTTAGCTTTAAATAACAGGAACACATCCATGCACACACACACATGCACACATATGCATATAGATATATTTATTTAAATCCCCATTGAAAAGTAATACAGATGAAATTTTAAAGCACATTGTTTTACATTAACAGGTGTTTCATAAGGAGTTTAACCAAGGTTCTGTGCCTGTGAAACAGGAAATGGAATGTACACAGGACTATGAGTCTACATGTGTAAACACACATCACCATATGCACATGTATTTAGAAAGAGAGCACACAGGTGCAATAAAGCTTTGCAGCTAATTCTTTCTTTGTGTCCACGAAGTTAGCTTCCTTCTGCCCATACTTGTTTAATATCACAAGCAAGAGAATGGATTTTCTTCCAGTCCTCCTGGTTTGTAAAAAGAGAAGGAAATATAGTTGCAAAAGTACCAAGTCTCAGCCTGCCAAGACTTACCCTACAGTGAATTTTCAGTGCTTGTTATTATAAAATCTGACGGAAAAATTGATGTTACATAACTGAAGTTTATAATGGAAAAGTAAGACTTACAAGCAGGCTGACTCGCACTGCTGAGCCAGATATGTACAAACTAAGTACTTACACACTGCATGTTTCAGTGACCAGTGCATTGAGAGCTCCTTCCTCAACACATTTTCTTTATGAAACAGAATTTTACTAATTTGGGACCCAATTGGCAGATGTCTTTGCTAGCTAGCAAGTTTTTGTATCATATCCAGGAACATCTGAGCCAACGGCATCTGCACGGCTCAGGCCGTTCTGAATTTACACACAAATAACATCATAGAAAGGAGTGCTTTTACCTGTTCCACTGACATGGCCCTGGTCTCTGCAGAGTGAGTTGCATCCACATAAAACCCAGCTCCAGCTATGATGTGGACTCCGGTCTGCTCTGACAGCCACTTCAGTGTCTGCACGTCCCTGTGGATCCCAGTGGTGGTGTTTTCCACCAAAGCCCCTCCACCCTTAGCTTTGAAATATAACAATTCTTCCCTTATGGCTTCAGCCTCCTGGTTCAACTGAAGGTTCTCTCTATGGGAATATGGGTTTTTCTGAATCCAAAATAAATTTTTCATCATGATAGGTTCCTTGGAGGTAGCTTCATGACATGGAGGCGGTGGGTAGTAAAAACAGTCAAAGGTCATTGTCAAGTGCTCATGGGTTAGGGTGCGGCCCAGTTTGCTTGGCTCTATGAGGCCCAGAACAGTCTGTACTTTTCCACTTAAAGCAGACATTCCTGATGGTGTTGGGATATGCTCTAAAAAGGAAAAAGAAAAGCAGAATTAGAAAGTTTAACACAAACATACAGTCTGTTTCTAGAGGGTGAGAGGTTGTGACTATATACTGGTCTAAGAGACAGAATCAATAAAACTAGAGATATGGCCTCATTAATCATTCTGCTAATCCCAGAATCTGCCCCAATGCAGCCCCGAGTGACATGCATGAGTAACATGTCCCCAGTCATTTCCACTGGGCCTCCTCTGATGGATCAATTCCAACCTCATCTACTGAAACTATTTCTCAGTATTCTGTTTACATTTATATTACACTTAATTCTTTCTCATTAGTTATAGCTATGCCTTCTTGGATAATGTAACAAAAACCATTAAAAATCTCCTCTTCATAATCAATAACTTACATCAAAACTAGCCATGTATCGATATTGTTTCATCATTTCTCAACCAAATGAAATATATACTTGCTTCTAACCACTGTACTATCCATTTGTTAGTCAACTGAACAAATTTCTGCTGGGGGCCTGTTACATGTCAGAAGCATAACATTAGACCTCTAACCTGCATGGCTTCTTGGAAGATGCCCTCAAAATGGTTGAGAGAGGAGGAGACCCACAACTAGTATCAGTAATATAAATCAACAAGAAGAAACAAACCCTTTCACTTAGGATACTTTATGTCCAGTGCACACAGAAACTAACAGTTCAAGAGTACTTAAAAGCAAAAATTCATTGTTATAATCAAAGGAGCTATGGTGCTACCAGAGATGGCTGGCTTTAGATAGCAACTTGACACAATTTAGAGTCACCTCAGAAGAGTCTCAGTGAAGGATTGTCTACTTTGGGTTGGCCCATGGATATGCCTAGGGGTGGATTGTGTTAATTAAGTTCATTCATGTGGGAAGACCTAGCCCATTGTGGGTGGCACCATACCCTAGGCTGAGGGTCCCAGCTGAGCACAAGCGAGAGTGAGCATGCCTGCGTCTGTCTCTCCGCCCTTGACTGCAGATGTGATGGGTCAGTTGTCTCGAGCTGCCTGTGCTATAGCTAAAATAAGCCCTTCCTTCCCTACGTTGTTTCTGTCATGGTGTTTCATCACAACAACAGAAATGAAAAGAACACTATGGAAACAGAAACCAGCCTCTATCCCCACTGCAGCTGCATTCAGGCTAAGTATTCACCTAGTTTCTCTCAATGACAGCAAGAACTCCAACTCCATCCCTTTTGTGTTCAATGTACATTCCCAGCTGAAGAGACTTCCTGATAGAGGAGATGATGCTGAACTTGGTGAACATGAGCACCCCACAGCTGAGAGCATGGCCAGTGCACACCATCAGAAATGAAGCTCCATGCAGACACAATCAGACAGGAAAAATAGACGGGGCCTGTCTTCCGATGTTCTCAAGAGACGTTCTGAAATTATTTTTTCTCACATCCCTTTGAAAGCCTTCTCCAGCTGTCGTGGTGTGTGTGTGTGTGTGTGTGTGTGTGTGTGTGCACGTGTGTGTGTGTACAGGTGTATGTGTGAGCCTATACATGTGTACGTGTGGAGGCCGGAGATCAACCTTAGGCATTATTCCTCAGGAGCCAGGAGCCTTAGACCTTGTTTTTTTTACAAATATAAAGATTCATTTTTTAAATCTTTATGTATTCTGTGGTACATTTCCTTTTCTTTTTTCCTTATTTTTATTGAATTTTTGCAAATTTTATATATTTTGATCATATTTAGGCCCCTTTCCCTGTCTGTACATCCCCCACTGCCAGATTTCATGCACTCTGTCACATATATGAAGGCCTATCAAGTCAAGTTTGTGTCCCTGAATGTTTTCTGGTGTGTATCCATTCACTGAAGCCCAGTTAACCCATTAAGCATCACACCTTTAAAGAAACCCAACTCTCCCTCCCCTAGTAGTTATTCGTTGCCAATAGTTTCTCAGCTAAGGCTGAGACTTCTTCCCCACTTCCCCACTTCTATGCTGGGATTTTATCTGGCTTGAGCTTGCATGGGACTTGTGCATGTTGTTAACACTGCTGTAAGTTCGTATGAGAAACTTCTGTTTCCTTGTGGTCACCTGCTACCTCTGGCTCTTACAATTTCCATTCCCTCTTCTGCAATGGTCCCTGAGCCTTGGGTGGTGGAGGTTTGGTATAGATGTCCTATTCATAGACCACCTTATCTTGAAAGAGGATCTTTCATGGGCCTGGAGCTCACTGAGTAGGCAAGGCTGACTGGCCAGCGAGTCCCAGGGATCCACCTGTCTCTGCCCCCTAGTGTTGGGATTTACTTTTTATTTTGTACAGGTTCAGAAGATTGAACTCAGGTCTTCATGTTTGCAAAGCAAGCACTTCACTGACTGAACCATCTTCCCAGTCCCTTTCTCTGGTGTCCTGAGTATTTAGTTTCTCATCAGTAAACCAGACGATATACATTGCATAGGATCCCAGCATCATAAGAACTAAGTCAAATGGGATACTGTATGTAAAAATACTTGCAAAAGTGGCACCCGGGTCATGTTCAACAAATAGTAGTGTTGGTACTTTAGTTCTAAGGACTATTTCATAGTTCCTAGGTAACTTCCTTTAGAAGGAAATGGTAGATTAAAGAGATGATTTGGAACAACAAGCAAAAATAATTGTAATGGGTAAAGTGTATGACGTGTGAAAATGAAGTCAAAGGCTGGGGAAAGGCTTAAAAAATTATAGGTCAATTTGTATCCAGTCAGCTCAATGACTATGAATTTATATGTTTGAGATACATTTCCTGACAATGAGTACTTTACTGCTTGGTGCTTTTCACAAAATCTTTGGGACTGTGACAAATGTGGCATTTGAATTTTGTTTGACGGTACTTTACTGCAAGCCATGCTTCTAACAGCTGTGCCCATGGTATTGACTCAGAGAATCACTATACAATTGCCAGTCCCCACGGAGGCAAGAGTTTTCATTGATGACATTGTGCTGGATAGCTTTAGTGTCAACTTGACTCACCTGGGTTGAGGGAGCCTCAGTTGGGGAATTGCTTTCATTGAACTGGCCTGTGGCCATATCCATGGGGCATCTTCTTGATTGTTGGGTGATGTGGGTGGTGCCACCCCTGGGCAGGTGGGCCTGTGTTGCATAAGAAAGCAGGCTGAGCAGGGGCCAGGGAGCAAGCCTGTAAGCAGTGATCCTCCATGGCCTGTGCTCCAGCTCCTGCCTTCAGGTTCCTGCCCTGAGTTCCTACCTTGGGCTCCCTGATGAACTGTGACCTGGGAGATGTAAGACAAATAAACCCTTTCCTCCCCAAGTTGGTAGTGGTCAGAGTGTTTTGTCACAGCAATGGAGAAACAAACTAAGACAGACATCTAGGAACACACTGTTCAGATGAGATCCAGTATGTCACAGGCTGGAACTTACTGTTCAAAGCTTTATTCCTTCTTACTAAAAGTAAAGAGCATGTAGTTTATTTCTTTGGTTGATAGGATATCACCACCATTAAAAATAGATTCAATTCTCTATGCGGGTTAATTTCCTGTTTCCTTCCTTCTGGATGACAATGTTACAGATGTGTTCTGGACTGTCACAGAGGGGCAGAAATTAGGATGAATTGATAAAATACTACCACGTTTACTAGAAAAGTACCAAACCGTAAACTTAATTGATGTGTATTTGAAAGAGCAATGTGGTATGTTTCAAGCTTACAAGCTGTGAGTCTTTGTGAGAAAAAAAAAATCACTTAAGAAATGTCATCCCCTCTGGGAAACTCCTCTAATGCTCTCAAACAGAGCAGCTGGCTCTTCCTTTGATCACACGCAATGTAATCCACACTCGAAGGATAAGAAATGATTAAAGAACAAACACAGCCAGTACTGCTATAAGCTGGACTACATCTTAGCATGGGCAAAGCAGGCATGGAGAGGCCATGGTTCTAGAGCAGACAGGGAACTCTTTTCTGTCTGCATTCAGTCTGGAAGTCTCTCTCGGCACACAGGCAAGGAGATGCTCATGATCTTTCACCCCCGGGATGCGTGTTTGTAGAACCAGGAGTGACAAAGGATGGATGAGAGAGGCAGTGCACATCTGTGCAGATGGGAGTGACCACCAACACAAGAGCCTCAGCCTTTTCTAGAGATTTCCATAGAAAGTTTAGTACTATACACACCTGCACAGAAGACCACAGGAAAAAAGGAGAGCAGGAGCTAGAAAGACACCTGATCAAAGCTTTGCTGCATATTAACTGTGACCTATGAACAGTGTGTGAGAGTGATTACCATGATAGCCCAACCAGAGGAAGCAACCTACCATGCTTAATAGTGATCATCAACTTGACAGGGTCTAGAAAATGGAAGAAACAGGTGTCTGGACATGTCTGTCAGGGATTATCTAGATTAGGTTAACTGATTAGGGAAGACCACCCCTAAATGTGGGCGGCACCATCTCATCTCATGCCCTGGGATCCTGGAGTGAATAAAAAGCAGAACACTAGCTGAGCACCAACTTCCACCAACCCACTCTGTTTGCTTATTGAGACCAGCCACCAACCTGGTCCTTCTGCCATATCTTTCCTGCTGTGGTGGATTATATCCTCTGGAACGGAAAACCAAAATAAATTCTTCCTTCTTTAATTTGCTTTTGCCATGTTCTTTGTCAGAAAAACAAGACAAGTTACTAACCCTTTTTCTTTTTCTATTTAAAAAAATATTTTATTATAGTTATTTTATGTGCATGCATGTATTGCCTGCATGTAGGTAAGTGCACCTGTGCCAGATCTCCTGAAACTGGAGTTATGGACAGTTGTTAGCTGCCACGTGGGTGCTGAGATTCAAACCCAGGTCTTCTGCAAGAACAGTCAGTGTTCTTAACCGCTGAGCCATCTCTCCAACCCTAACCCTTTTCTTTTGTTTTGTTTTTTTGAGACGGGCTCTTTCTGTAACCCAGTCTGGCCTGAAACACACTATGTGACAGAAGCTCACATTGCCTTGAAGGTGAGCCTCCTACTTCAGGCTCCCAAATCTTGGAATGACAGGCATGAAGTACTATGCCTG